CGAGTTTTGACAGGGACACCAAAAGTACACAGCTTACGAGTCCCAAATAGGACAAAAAAGCTATACCGTGCTCTTTGTCAGCCATCACAAGTATTTCTATCGTAATTGAAAAAAATACTGGAAAAATTTGTTCCGTGTTTCCGTTTCCAGATATCGAAGAAACCGATCTTAGCGAAGAAACCGGTGGCATTGGACATACTCGAAAATCATCAAACAAACTTCCTACTCGAGTAAGTGCTTGATGTCGACTCCCTGCGGTTTGATATGGATTTTCAACAGTAATGTTTACCTTTTTACAGTGTGTAATTAGTGGGTCGTCCTTACATGAAATTCACCCATCATCGTCGTTAAAGTATGTTACACAATCCCGTTATCCAGACACGGGATGTTCATGAACGTGCAAAGTTCTTGGGCGATTGTGATGAGTATCCATTATCCAGCCGACGGTACAGCGTGATGCTGATGTTCAGTAAATTTTTCGTAAATAAAGTTCCTTGGTCAAATGCGGTTTACCCTGCTGATGCGCTTTTTCCCTTACCTGGGATCTGCCATGGGAAAGTGACCGGGGGTTTCCAATAATGATGCTTAAAACAAACACTACGAGCTGCGGTTTTCGAGCAGCAGGATATTTTTCGCCAAATTCCAGATTCTACAGAAGATGGCTGACTAACTAACTTGGAGTTTTTGACTTACCTATGTAGTTTTGTGATGCCAGCTTTCTTGCGTCCCCTCACAGTGCCGAAAAGTAGCGGGTTAACGGCGGGCGCAGGACTTTTATCCACCACGATTAGACTGTCTCTCCATCAGTTTCCCTTTGTGCAGCCTTTGAGCATGCATTTCTTTGCTCCGTTCTTCGTTGTCACCTGTGATGATCTCTTTTGTTTACCATTGACGAAAAAAGCGAGATTCAACGGAAAACTGATAATAATGCATAGCTGAAAATACCAAATTTGGACGAATTAAGTGGACATACAAAGTGGGTAGTTTCACCAACACCACTGATTACAGCACTAAAACACATGACCCAGTGTTATCGTTTAATCAAGTTGGTCCCTGACCAACTTATACGACCTTATCCTCTGATCCGAATTTTCCGAAGTACATACCTGTTCAGTTTGTACAACCATTAACCATGTACTTTCTTGTGGCGCTTTTGGCTGCTCATTTGGATGCGGGGGTAGAAGAAAGATTGGAAAGTTGAAAGTGGTGTCAAAGAGGAAATGGAGAATCTCGGTAGTCTACGGTTGTGAACAATTTGAGGTCATGTACGATTGCCACTGTTTACGATACTCAGCGATATCACTCAATCTCTCTAACCATAGATTACAATGATCCTGAGGTCCCCATCCAAGGAACCTAGGGAGACCTATACGAGCGAGTCTCCTGGTTAAGGCTTTCATACTCGTACCAGGTCTTAGCTTGACCATCATTGTTTTTTTTCACTCACTACCTACCTCGGCAAACATCTCTCACCATGGCAACCCAATTGGTGGCATGCGAAACACCTACCCAACCAACGCGACTGTGGTTGCCTAAAACTCTGTGCTGAGTGCTAGTGTTGCCATGTTCGGTCTGCGTTTTGCACCTTCAAAGTGTAAAATCCTACTACAAGATTGGGTTGATCCAGCACCCAGTCTCACCCTAACTGGGGAGGTAGTAGAGGAAGTAGACAAATTTTGTTATCTGTGTAGCTATGTCTCACCCGGCGGACGCATCACAGATAAAGTGTCGGTGCGCATACAAAAGGCTCGATTGGCATTTGCCAACTTGAGACATTTGTGGCGCCGTCGCGACATCCGGCTGTCTGTGAAGGGTCGAGTGTATGCTGCGGCAGTTCTGCTCTACGGTGCAGAGACTTGACTACTTAGGGGACAAGATAAAAATAAATTGTCAGTGTTTAAACACCGCTGTCTACGTAGCATCGCACGTGTCTGGTGGAGTAACCGGACTAGCAATGCTGAGGTTAGGTGGAGTTTTAGGCAATCGCGGTCGCCCACTGGAGCAATTGGTCGATCTCCATAGATTATGCTGGTTAGGACATATGTTATGTATGTCGCCAGATAGGTTGCCGCGGCGAACGATGTTTGCCAAGGCTGTTAGCGATTGGAAAAACACGAAGAATGGTCAAGCTAAGACCTGGCATGAGGGTATGAAAACCCGAACCAGGAGACTAGGTCACATAGGCCCCGTTAGGCTCCCTGGCT